CGATTAAATAAACTATTCAGATAAGATTTTACAGGTTTATCAGAATAAGATTTAAGCATATAAACAATTCTTCATATATTCGTATATATATATGTTGATGAAATAATAATAATGTGCTCTTCAAGACAAGAATTAATGGAAGAAAGAAACAGTCGGTACATCATTAATACTAATCTACAATTTAAAATAGATTTCCTTATTTTAACTCATTAAAATGAATGATAAACTATTCGCCTGAGAAGTCATATATACATCCTGTATTATTTCCTATTATAATATCTGCACGAATTTTATTATAAATCCTATTATCATGTAACTTTCTTTCATTTCTTTATTCTCTTTACTTAATATAACATCAAATTATTCTTCTTGAATGATGTATGAACCATATTGTACCGCTTATTTTTCATCGTATAGTTCTGATTATGAAAAGCAATATGAAACATTCAATTCAAATCAACCTATAACAACATCATCAGAAACAAAAACGAAATCAATACGTCGATCAAAACATATTCCACATCATTTACGACCTCATCATATTGTTGAAAAACGTAATACACGTGAACGAAGACGTGTACATGATGTTAATCAAGCATTTTTATTACTTAAAGCACTTTTACCATTTGATGCATATAATAATTCTCGAGATCAATTAAATTCTACTCGTATATCAAAAGTTCGTACACTTCGTCAAGCAGTTAATTATATTGAAGCACTTCAACATATGTTAAATGAAACAAATTAAAATTATTTATCATCACTTGTAATTTTATTTAAATGATTAACAATATCTTCACGAAGACTTGGTCCTATAGCATCACAAAATTCATTAAATGATATACGTTGATCACCATCTTTATCAGAATAAATTATTGTTTTATCAACTACTTGTTGTAATTGATCATCTAATAGATTATTACCAACCATCATTTTTAATACTTGAAATAATTCGGCATTTGTTATATAACCATCTTTATCTATAATTACAATCAATAAAATAATTAAATATAAATAAGCATCAACTTATTCATATTTCAGTAAATTAAAATTTTTCTTAGACTTCTGAAAGAACATTTTTTCCTACTGCATAAAATAATAACACAGCTATTATAAGAACTATCAACAATATGTGCTTAAAACTAAAATAGTACATTGAATAATCCCTTTCATAACACCTTTAACAAATATCATATCATTCATCTCATCGATGAAATTATTGAAAAAAGTACATTATTTCTTTTATGTCATATACTATAAATATAAGTACTCTGTAAATTCGAATAATAGTGGTGACTATTCAGGCAAGATATATATTTGTAAGTATTATTTTATACTCACGCAAAGTACTCTCTTTTTTAGTTTTTTAAGTTATCGTTGAAGAATACTTTTGAATCGAATTAGTTATGATGAATTTCTTAGTTTTATTTTTAAAAACTTCTTACCAATATCATAGATATTAAAAGCAAATCGTAATTTATGTTGTGTATCACCTTTTGAAGCAAAACTATTCATGCCTAATTTAACACATGAAATAATTTCATAAAAGAATCTTATATAAACACTAACCACGTATAAATTCAGTAAAATCAACCTATTATAAATTTACATATATTAGTTAAAAATTCTTTTTAAAATAAAAAAACGACCTCGCCATTTCCGTCACTATCAAATATATCGATGACACGTTCAACTAATGGATTTGATGTAAGTTCTGGTATTTGCATAAATTCTTTCGCTGATAATGCTCCACTTTTGTCTTCATCAAGTTTACCAAATTTTTGTAACATCTTTTGAATATCAGTCGAATCAATTTGACTAATATCTTGACCCATTTAATATATTACACAAAGAAATTAGTTACTATTATTTTTTACAATACTAATAAATCTATTAAGCGCCAATTACTATATCATGAATTTTACAAATCATAAGTTGTCAATAGTTACGTTAATGACTAATTATAGTTGCTACGACCAATACATTATTACTACGTGTGATAAAGAAAAAAAGATGCTAACAACCACTTCTTTCCTTTCTGTGATATACTTCAGTTAAGGAGAAAACCTGTTAATAGGACGTAGAAGAAAAAAAGAACGCGTTTCGCGACACTATTTTTTGTTCTCCTTTTTTTTTAATATTTTTTTACATGTATACTTGAACTAACAGTCGGATTCACGTGGAGACATGACATTTTCTTTCTAAGGTTTTTTCTTCATATAAAGGTAAAAGAAAGACACAAACATCGGTGTATTACTTCTCCTTTTTTTTCTTATTATATTCAGACCATTTAATATAAATTTATTTGATAATAATAAACAATGAAAATTGTAATTATTGGTGGTGGACCATGTGGACTTGGAGCTGCTTGGCGTACTGAAGAAATTCGACGTCAAGGTTAATATTTTTTGTATTTTCATATAAAATGATTTAAATATTCTTTTTTCAAGGTAATACAAATATCGATTGGACTCTTGTTGAACTTTCATCAGATGCCGGTGGTCTCGCTCGAACAGTTGTCGATGAACAAGGCTTTCTATGGGATATGGGTGGTCATGTCATATTTTCTCATTACGCTTATTTTACTCGTTTACTTGATTATCTCTTACCAAATTCCGATGATTGGAATTCAAAAATTCGTGAAGCATGGGTATGGATGCGTGGTACATTTATACCATATCCATTACAACAAAATCTTCATCGTTTACCTAAACATGAAATTGTTGCTTGTATTGAAGGTCTACTTGAAAATGAACGTCGTCGTTCGACATTTACTAAACCTGCTACATTTGCTGATTGGATGCAACAATCATTTGGTCGTGGTTTATGTGATTCATTTATGCGTCCATATAATTTTAAAGTTTGGGCATATTCAGCTGATAAAATGAATGTTGAATGGATGGGTGAACGTGTTGCTACTGTTAATGTATCACGTATTATACATAATGTTATACTTGAACAAGATGAACTTGGTTGGGGACCTAATAATACATTTCGTTTTCCAATGAGAGGTGGTACAGGTGCAATATGGAGTCGTTTAGCTGAAGCATTACCAAAAGAAAAATTTCAATTCTCAAAAAAAGTAACGAAAATTGATGCGGCACAAAAAACTCTTACGTATGAAGATGGTTCATCTGAATCCTATGATGCTATTGTTTCAACAATGCCAATGAATTGTTTATGTCAAATTATTGAAGGTACAAAAAATATTTCACGTACTGATTTACTTGAAAAATCGAAACAATTTCGTTATTCATCAAGTCATATAATAGGCTTTGGATTTGAAGGTCAACCACCTGCACATTTACTTACAAAATGTTGGATGTATTTTCCTGAAGATGATTGTCCGTTTTATCGTGCAACTGTTTTTTCAAATTATTCACCTTATCATGTACCAAAACCAGGTGAACAATGGTCACTGATGTGTGAAGTTGCTGAATCTCCTGAAAAACCTGTTGATTCAGCAAATATTATTGCTATTGCTGAACAAGGTTTAAGAAATGCTAAATTAATTGATAATGATACAAAAATTCTATCTCGTTTTCATACTCGATTAGAATATGGATATCCAACACCATTTTTTGGTCGTGATCAACTTTGTGCACCACTTTTCGATGAATTTGAAGCACATAATATTTATTCGCGTGGTCGATTTGGTACATGGAAATATGAAGTATCAAATCAAGATCATTCAATGATGTTAGGTGTTGAAGCTATAGATCGAATTGTATTCAATACTGAAGAACTTACACAAAAATATCCCGATATTGTTAATGCAAAACGTGATAATGTTGGTCGAGTACCTTTCGTTCCAGCTCAATCAAAATAAATTAAATGATAATTTAGGTTAATCTTTTGAATAAGACTCTTGTTGCTATTCTTAAACAGTTTTTTTTATATCAATGCGAATTAAATAATCGGTCACTTTCTGAATAAATTTATTTGCTTACTATCATATCATATAAATCTTTTTTTTGTCCGATATAAAAAATTAACCATATTCTACCTTATCCGACAATGTAGATCGATCTGAAATCCATACTTGACATCAGTTCTAACTCTCCGAATGGTTAATAAAACATTTTTGTCTATCTAATTATGAATGATAGAAAGCACATGTTAAAATAAATAAGTATCATTCATATTTCTTAATATAACATAACAGTAATCTGAAAGAGACATGGGCACGAAAAATTAGATAGAGTTGTGTATGTCTC